AAAATAGTGTATCAGAGAACCCGAGGTAGCTAACCCGGTGAGGTCGCTCCAATGCTTAAGTTAGTAATTGTGTTGTAAATGCGAGCTGAATGCTTGAAAGCTTGAATGCTAGTGAGTAGAGTAATCATGCATACCTTTGCCTTGAGATTTCGAGTCTTTATATACTGGAGTAGCCGTGGGCTTTACGAAAGAGCTCCGGGTTCTCCGGGCTGTAGAGATTAGGTTGGTTACGTTTTTTAAGGAGAGCAGTACGTGGATGAGGCTTATCGTCCACCTTCGATTTAGGCAGAACCGGGATGAGTTCTTATCGTGATCTCGGGTGATTCGAGATCCATTGGCTCATCGTGACCCCAAGAGATTCAGGATCTGTTGGGGAGGCTTTTGGAGTTGGTTACGACGCTTCAGCTTCATTAATTCTGAACTGGAACTTTGATTCTTTAGTTCCGAACTAAATTGGATGCTGAGGTGCCTCTACGTCGAGGCAGGTTTTAGGCCGAGGTGGCTGGATGCCCGAACTGCGAATGTTGCGAACTAGGCTTGCCTGGCTGAGTTGTCATCCTTCAATTAGATCGCGCCCACGTATCCCCTTCCTGTTAGGTCATATCAAATCACCCTTCATCAATGGTCTTCTGTTTTTTCTGGTAGGTCATGGGGTTTCATTTTGTTCATAAAATGAACAGAGGGGCTCCGCCTTTGCTTTTTGTTCTTTACGCATTAAAACAGGGGCTCCGCCCTGTGTGTTTTTTCAAACGTATTAAGCGTAGCATGTCTCTGTTTTGAAGGGAAAATAGTCTCAGTAGTTTGTTCGTCTAAAAGACGGATCAGATCGGCAACGTTGTCTTCATCAGGTATTAATTTCCGTTGGCACCTCCTCTTATTTTTATATTTTAAAACAAGGGCTCCGCCCCTATGTTTTGTCATGTTTTATCTTTTTTTTTTTTTTCCATGTCAAATGACTGTAGCAGCGTGTCGGGTCAGGAGGTGATCTTATATGGGTCAACAGGTCGGGTATCTTATCTGGGTACTGTGTACTTGAATTAAATTATTGTATTAACCTATAGATAATTAACAATCAGTAATTTAATTAATAATAAATTTAATAATCAATAAAGTAACAATAAATTATTCCGAATTAACAGTAAATTTAGTGATACTTAAAATAATCAATTAATTGAATGGCATAATTTATTTATATTTTGTGAATTATATTTAATTAATAGTAATTTCCCGTTATTTAATCTTATAGAATGAACTAAAAGTAACTTACTGTTAATTTCCTATAATTAATAGTAAATTACTATAAATTAATTTTTTGTTAATTACTGTATAGTTAAATTAAATTAACTTGATTACCTTAAATAATTTACTTTATTAGCTTAATTAAATTAAGTTAATTAATTAAGACTAATTAAGTAGTAATTAGTTAACTTTGTGTATGCCTAACCTAGTTTATCTAATCATTTTCTTTTCTTGATTAAAGTTGGAAATTATTAATTAATTAAGTTTCTTCCACAAAAATTATATATATAAATGATACAAATTAATAAAAATATTTTAATAATTTTTATTTAAAAATAAAGTAAATACAAATTAATACATTTTTATTAATAAAACAAAAAAGTAAGAAAATTTTCTTTTCAAAATTAAATATTATAATTTATAATGATACTACAATTTTTTGATAAAATTAAAAATTAATAACATTATTAGTATTTTTTTTGTTAGGTTTGGTTTTTCAATTTTTTGGTTTTTGATGAGCACCCTAGGCAACAATTACTTTAACTACTGCTATACAATAGAAAACAAGTGACATGTGATAATTCAAACCGTCAATACAACACTTGGTGGAAGAGAAAGAGAGTTTAATGTTGCATATGGATTGGTCAAGTGCACTTTTCAATCTCTAACCCAATCCAAAGTCGAGTTCGGGTTATTCAAGGCGTCAACCCTAACCCAACCCTCAGTAAAATCAGATTCATACTTTTGAAGGATAACCCTATCACTTCAACACTTGGTGGAAGAGAGAGAGTTTAATGTTGCATATGGGTTGGTCAAGTGCACTTTTCAATCTCTAACCCAATCCAAAGTCGAGTTCAGGTTATCCAAGGCCTCAACCCTAACCCAACCCAAAGTAAAATTGGATCCATACTTTTCAAGGATAACCTTATCACTTCAACACTTGGTGGAAGAGAAAGAGAGTTTAATGTTGCATATGGGTTGGTCAAGTACACTTTTCAATCTCTAACCCAATCCAAAGTCGAGGTTGGGTTATCCAAGGCCTCAACCCTAACCCAAACCAAATTAAAATTGGATTCATACTTTTCAAGGATAACCCTATCACTTCAACCCAATCCAACCCGACACTACTTTTTCATGTGGGGTTTGAGTTAACCCAACCCAAGTTGCAATCCTAATGTAAAACACATTAACACTTGGTCTTGCAAACTATATGGGGTCGATATTAGCAATGTAAGAGATTCTCCAACCAAACTCCTAGGTTAAGTAATAGCATCATATCATTGTGTACAATTTTCCACTTCCTAAGGTCCTTGGCTTGCTCTAAAACTCCATGTTAAGTAAGATAGGCATTGTTTATTTCCAGAAAATTGATGTACACTTAATCATTGAGATATATATCTGACATATATCATATAATTATCCAAAGTTTAAAAGTATTGATAAGTTTTATTTTTGATAAGAAAGAAAACTAGACTTTTTATTTTTGATAAAAAATACTAGACTTTTATTAGATCACCTAATAAATTTTAAAAGTTCTCAAAAATATCCAAAAAGTTTGCCACATCCACCCTAGATGCCTTAAGAAAAATAAAAACATCATCTGCAAAAAAGAGATGAGAGATAAAAGGAGCCTCTTGGGAGATTTTAACACCATGAATTAAATTCATTTGTTTAGCTTTACCTAGAAGCTGAGGGAGGCCTTTCATAGCCAAGATAAACAAATAAGGAGAGAGGATCTCCTTGCTTTAAGCCCCTAGAAGGAGAAAAAACATCATGAGGGCAACCATTTACCAAGATAGAAAAAGAAATAGTAGAAATATAAAAATAAATCATCTCACACCATTAATCATTGAACCCTAAAGCCTTCAAAACAACAATAGTATAATCCCCATTCAATTCTATCATATGCCTTCATCATATCTATTTTAATTGGTATATAAATAGAGCCCCTCCTCTATTGTATCATAAATTGCAAAATTTCCTGGGCCATCACCACATTATTTAGCATAGATCTCCTAGGAATAAAGGCATTTTGATAAGGAAAAATACATTTGTCAAGAAAGTGCTTAGGTTGGACGGCCAAAAGCTTTGCAATAACCTTGTAAATAACATTGCATAAACTAATAGGACAAAAGGCCTGTACCTTAACAACATTTCTTTTAGGTATTAAAGTAATAAATTTGTGGTCAAATTTACAAAGAAATTTATGATTATCAAAAACATTCCTGCACATATTAAATAATATCTTCTTCCATATCATTCCAACAAAGCTTATAAATCAGAGAGGGGTTAGAATCCATCATACAGATGGTTGACCCACGCTAGATGGCTAGGCAAATTTTCAAAAATTTTCTAATCCTTCTAGGAATCGAATTCCCTATATTTTGAAAATTGCATTTTTTAGGATCGGTCTTGCACTGAATTGGACCAAATTTGAAATCAATCAAAGAGGAAGATTTATACCTGATGTAGATCAGATCCCAAGATGGAAGTTCACGCCCAAAACAGTCCCAAAATCAGCCTCCACCGAAAATGGCACAGTGTATAGGTAAAGCTGATTCAACAACACAATTTTCAACAAAACTACAACCCAACTACTTGGATCAAACTAGGGAAGGTGAGTCTAATATTCCCTGACTTTTTCTTGAAAAAATCAGAGGAAAACTAATCTAAATCAATCCCAGATAGCTGATGTTGAACTGGGAAAAAATTGGAAGACAAAAGGGTGTAGAGAGAACCAAAAACTGCAAAATTATGAAGCCGTCTTGAACTGGTCCACCCCCTCCTCTTTTATAATCTGTTATGGAGCTATCTCCTAATCTAATTAGGAGATAATGCAGATCTAAATCAGATTTGGACTCTAACTAGAGATAAACCTTATCTGCTTATAAGATTAGGTGCTTCAAACCTAGATCCAAACCCAAATTTCCCCAAGTCACATGACAACTTAAGAAATTTTAGGCAAAAGACAATAAGCTTTATTAATATGCAGTGATTTATATAAATTGGTGGGTATTTATATGGACTTAGATTGGTTTTGCTCCTTCAATCAGTGTGATAGCATGGTTCAGGGAGGGGACGTGGGGATGTTATTTCAATTGGTTCCTGAAATACACTATTGACTGAGTCCTCGCATCAGTCTGACACTCTGGCCAAAGCTAGTAAAGTCCCATACTGACTCTATTTTCTTTCAATGTATAGATTAATTCTAAAAACTAAGCACCCTCTAGAATGTGACTACCACTGTCATCACTGTATTGTAGAGTCATATCAGCAAGATTGATAAGAACCCACTAGACGACCTGCTCTAGGAATTCTTGAATCAAGTTGTTATGCGTACCCAAAAGCTAGAAAACAAGTTGTAGTTGATTAGATTAAAACCTTAAGGAAACTAAGTCCTTAAAGAATCAAATCTTAAAAACACCACAAAGGTTGATCACTCCCTTGATAAGTCAAGATATTGTATTCTACCAAGAACACAAGAAGGCAAAGCTAAACTTGCTGAAAAAAATCTCTATATTATTGATGATCTCGTTTTACATAGTTGTAGTCTTTATATAAGCATGTAAACATCATTATTTTATAAGGAAACTCCTAACTAAAGAGGATCCCTTTAATTTAGGAAAATAAATTTGCCTTGATATATGAATCCTTCTAAAAGACTACAATTAATGACAAGTACGCATAGAAAAGTCAAAGTAAAACAAAACAAGACAAAACAAGCCCATCAATACATTTTAGCATGCGGATTGGGCCTTTTCTTATCATGTCCATGCGCCAAGCCCATCAATACATCTTAGTATGCGGATTAGGCATTTTCTTATCATGTCCATGCGCCTTGGTCTTATGTCATGGATTCCAAGCTTTGTTCTTCGAGATCTAAGTCTTGCACATCGTCTTGCAGATAAAGATAGGTGATTATCCTTGGTGAAGCTTTAGAAACTTCTAGAACAGTCTTAGAATATTCTAGAACAGTTTCTTTGTCATGCACTTCCATGATTAAGCCTTGTAAAGCCTCTTTCATCATCTTTTTCCTTGCCCTAGTCATTGGACAACCAATTCCTTGCAAAGGATCTTGAGAATATTTGGGAATATTAGCTTGAGCCATTTGGCCAACGCCTCGATCTCCATTAATTCCTCCTTCCTCGAAAGGATTCATCATCGAATCACCTACATCAAACAAAGATAAATCAGCAATATTAAAAGTCGCACTAACATTACCATAGTTGCTTGGCAAATCTAGCTTGTAGGCGTTATCATTGATTTTTTCCAAAACTTGAAAATGTCCATCTCCTCTAGGCTGCAATTTTGATTTCCTTTGTGTAGGAAACCTCTCTTTACGCATATATATCCAAACCCAATCTTCAGGTTCAAAAACAACCTTTAAACGCCCCTTATTAGCTTGCTTAGCATATTGCTCATTCTTCCTTTCAATGTTAGCCCGAACCTTGGCATGTAAATCTTTCACAAAAACTGCATTTTTCTCACCATCAAGATTAACATGTTCATTAGTAGGCAAAAGTAAAATATCCACATGAGTTAAAGGATTAAAGCCATAAACAACTTCAAAAGGTGAAAAAGAAGTAGAATGAATAGACCGGTTATATGAAAACTCAATATGTGGCAAACACTTCTCCCATTACCTTAAGTTCTTTTGAATGATAGCACGCAACAAAGTAGTGAGTGTCCTATTAACTACATCAGTTTGACCATCCGTTTGAGGATGTGCAATAATAGAAAATAAGAGTTTAGTTCCTAATTTATTCCATAAAGTGCGCCAAAAATGACTTAAGAACTTAACATCTCTATCACTAACAATTGTCTCAGGCAAACCATGCAAATGAACAACTTCTTTAAATAACAAGTCAGCAATATGTGTTGCATCATTGGTTTTAGAACAAGCAATGAAATGAGCAATTTTACTAAACCGATCAACAACGACAAATATGTTGTCCTTACCACTTTGAGACCTTGATAACCCTAAAACAAAATCCATAGAAATATCAATCCAGGGTTGGTTAGGCACTGGTAAAATGGTATACAAGCCATGCAGTTTAACTTTAGATTTTGCTTGCCTACACGTAATGCACACTTATCACAAACAAATTGTACATCATGCTTCATAGTAGGCCAATAAAAATGCTCACGCAATATATCTAAAGTTTTTTGTACACCAAAGTGCCCCATCAAGCCGCCTCCATGAGTTTCTCTAACAAGTAACTCACGAATAGAACAAATAGGCACACACAATTTATCTTAAACATAAATCCTTCATGCCTATAAAAATCATTAAACGCACACTTATAACATGCATTCCATACTTGGCTGAAATCAGAATCATTAGCATACAAGTCCTTAAGCAATTCAAAACCAAGTAACTTAATTTGCAAAGATGTAAGTAATGCGGACCTCCTAGATAATGCATCAGCAACAACATTTTCTTTTCCATGTTTGTACCTGATCACATAAGGAAATGTTTCTATGAACTCCAGCCACTTAGCATGCCTTTTATTAAGCTTACCTTGGGATTTCAAGAACTTTAAGCTCTCATGATCAGAATGAATGATGAATTCCCTTGGCCACAAGTAATGCTGCCATGTTTGAAGAGTCCTCACTAATGCATAAAGTTTATTATCATAAGTAGGATAATTCAATGCTGCCCCACTTAGATTTTCACTAAAATAAACAATTGGTTTGGAATCTTGCAACAAAACAACCCCTATTTCAATTCTAGATGCATCACATTCTACCCCAAAAGCTTTATTAAAGTTAGGCAAATACAACAAAGGTGCATTAGTTAGCTTATTTTTCAAAGTTTTGAACGCTCGATCATGCACTTCATCCCACTTAAAAACAACATTCTTTTTAACAAGTTCATTYAAAGGTGYAGCAATAGAAYTAAAATCYTTAACAAACCTTCGATAAAAACTTGCTAAACCATGAAAATTTCTTACCTCGTTTGCATTCTTAAGTGTAGGTCAGTCCCTTTATTGCCTTTACCTTTTCTTCATCAACACTAATACCCTACGAACTAATAACACATCCAAGAAACACAACAGATTCCATGCAAAACGTGCACTTCTTAAGATTAGCATACAATTGGTGCTCTCTTAACACACTAAAAACAGCATGCAAGTGTTTCACATGTTCATCCAAAKTTTTGCTATAAACTAAAATATCATCAAAGTAAACTACCACAAATTTCCCTATGAAAACACGCAAGACATGATTCATTAATCTCATGAATGTATTAGGTGCATTAGTTAAACCAAAAGGCATTACTAACCACTCATACAATCCATATTTAGTTTTAAATGTTGTCTTCCATTCATCTCCCTCTTTCATGCGAATTTAATAATAGCCATTCTTTAAATCAATTTTAGAAAACAAACAAGAGTCATGCAATTCATCAAGCATATCATCTAATCTAGGGATAAGATGTCTATACTTAATTGTTATTTTGTTAATGGCTCGGCAGTCCACACGCATACGCCATGTTCCATCTTTCTTTGGGACTAAGATGACAGGAACCGAACTTGGGCTAAGACTCTCCCTTACAAAACCCTTTTACACCAACTCATCCACTTGCCTTTGTATCTCATTTGTTTCCTCGGGATTAGCTCTATAAGCTGGTCGATTTGGTATGGTGGAACCGGGTATGAAGTCTATTTGATGCTCAATACCTCTTAAGGGAGCAAATCCATGGGGAATCTCCTCGGGAAATAGGTCCTCAAACTCCTGCAATAAAGACACAACAATACTAGGCAAAGAGGGGTTTGGGTCATTAGTAGAAAAGTAAACATCCTTGTACATAAGTACAAGTAGTTGCTGCCTTGCAATCATGACACTCTTAACCTCATTTTTTTCACTCATTCCCTTGCTTTTCTCTCATTTTTGTACACTTTTCTCCCCAATTTTCCTCTCAGCCTCACTCTTTCCACTTGCACCCTTCCCCTCAGTCTCACTTGCTCTCTTTGCTTTTGCTTGTTCACTTTCTTTCTTTTTCTTTTCCTCTCGCTCACACTTTTGTTCTTCTCTCATTTTGCACTCTCTTGTTATCCTAATCTAATCTTCATAAGCTTTCAAAGGTTTGAGAGGGGTTAGTACCACAACTCGGTTATTCATTACAAAAGAATAACGGTTTTTATACCCATCATGTGTAATCTTCCTATCAAACTGCCATGGTCGGCCAAACAATATATGACCAGCATGCATTGGTGCTACATCACATAGAACCTCGTCCTCATACTTTCCAATTGAGAAGGAAACCAGAACTTGCTTGGTTACCCCCACTTCTCCACATTCATTCAAACATTGCAATTTGTATGGTTTAGGATGCTTTATGGTATGCAAATTCAGCTTATCTACCAACAACGTACTAGCAACATTAGTACAACTTCCACTATCAATAATCATAGTACATACTTTATCCTTCACATGGCTTTTTGTGTGGAAAATATGCTCACATTGTTCCTCATCACTATCATCCTTAGGCTGTATACTTAGGGCTCTCTTTGTAACTAGCAAATCACCATGCACGGGTTCTGCAACTTCAACATCAGAACAATCCTCCAATGGTGGCATCTCATTTTCACTTGAGCTAGCACTTTCTATTTCTCCATTCTCCAAACAATCATAACTCTTTTGTTTAGGCATTGAGAAGAAATATGCCCGAATCCTTGGCACCTAAAACACTTAACTTCACATGACTTAGAAGAAGTTTTAGCGTTGGTTTTACCCTTATGAACAGCAACTGAATCACTTTGCTTTGCTTCTTCTTTTGTTTTTGAGACAGCCTTGTTGTCCTTCCAATTAGGTTTCCATGAAGAACCAGATCTGAACCCTTTTAATTTGATTTGCTTCTCCACTTTAATGGCTTTGTGCAACAGCTCCTCCATCTCCACATAGTGTTGTAAATCCACCACATCAGCAATCTCCTTATTCAAGCCGCCAATAAATCTAGTCATTGTTGCTTCTTAGTCCTCCTCTACGTTTGCTCTAATCATGGTTATCTCCATCTCTTTGTAATAGTCCTCTACACTCATGAAACCTTGAACTAGCCCTTACAACTTTCTATGCAAATATCTATAGTAATGGCTAGGTATAAATCTCTTACGCATTACCAATTTCATCTCTTCCCATGACCGAATTGGCCTCTCTCCATTCCTACGCCTATTAATCACCAATTGATCCCACCATATGCTTGCATAATCTGTGAACTCCACGGCTACTAGTTTTACTTTCTTCTCCTCAGAGTAATTATGGAAATCAAATACGTGCTCAACCTTTCTTTCCCACTCCAAGTATAGTTCGGGATCATTCTTTCCTTGAAAGGTCGGAATCTTCATCTTTATGCTACCCAAATTGCTATCTCTTTTGGAAACAGCCTTATTGCCTCGTTTAGAACTCGATTCCTCCAAATCCAAATCATCTTCCTCTTCTTCCTCAAACACACATCTTCTAGTGGACTTAGAAATAGATGGGGATTGCAAATCATCCAGCCTCGCATTCAACTTTCTGAATTGTTCATTAACAGCCCTTATGAATAATTTCATGTCAATCTCTTGTGGTTCTCCTTCAATACTCATGTTTATAACCTGCAAAAACTCGCTAGAAATAAAAGAAATTTTGTTTCTCACCTCTCTTTGCCTTTTTTTTTTGTTCCTCACACACTCCCTCACGTGTTTGCACTCAAATCAGACTTTTCTCAATGATGATCCCACCTCTCTTTGCCTCTTTTTTTTTTCCACTCAAGCCAGCCCCCTTTATGTTCTTAACAGGATCAAGATCAATAAATCTCAAGGAGCAATTAGTTAGATGGTGGCAAATCTCAAAATCAGAACTTTAAAAACTTAGTTGAGGCAAATGGTAGAAATAAGGAAAGAAAAATCAATTATARGAGCCAAAAAAAAAAATAAGAAAACTTCCAAAGGAAGCAAAAGACATGCAAAAGAAATCACTAGAATATGGAGCATGAAATTAAATTAATTTAGACACAAGAATCATTATTTGATAATGATTGTTACTAATTAATATAGTAAGATAGTTGTTTAAGAAAAAGAAATCCCAGTTCAAAAAGGATTATACAGCTAGTTCTTGAATTAGTCAACTAGTCAAACCCAAAAAAAGGAAATATGATCTTGCAATTCAAGAAATCCCATTCACGTTGGGAAAATGAAAAAAAAAATCAGATCTGCAATCTAACTTCTCATTATTTTTTTTTCGAATTGAATNGAGCCAAAAAAAAAAATAAGAAAACTTCCAAAGGAAGCAAAAGACATGCAAAAGAAATCACTAGAATATGGAGCATGAAATTAAATTAATTTAGACACAAGAATCATTATTTGATAATGATTGTTACTAATTAATATAGTAAGATAGTTGTTTAAGAAAAAGAAATCCCAGTTCAAAAAGGATTATACAGCTAGTTCTTGAATTAGTCAACTAGTCAAACCCAAAAAAAGGAAATATGATCTTGCAATTCAAGAAATCCCATTCACGTTGGGAAAATGAAAAAAAAAATCAGATCTGCAATCTAACTTCTCATTATTTTTTTTTCGAATTGAATGTTCTTTTCTGTCTCTTTTTTTTTTTTTTTTTGAATTGGATGTTTTTTTCTGTCTCTCTTTTTTTTTTTTTTGCCAAACTAAACACACGAAATAAAATTGACTCTACTCAAAAACACAAAGAAGTCGAATGGAAGAATTCAAAGAAACTATGCAAGAACAACACAAGAAACATGCAAAGATCAAAGAAAAACACAAAACAAGGATAAGTAACCTGTTTCTAGAACCAAGGCTTTGATACCAAATGATAAGAACTCACTAGATGACCTGCTCTAGGAACTCTTGAATCAAGTTGTTATGCGCACCCAGAAGCTAGAAAATAAGTTGTAGTTAATCAGATTAGAACCTTAAGGAAACTAAGTCTTTAAAGAATCCAATCTTGAGGATGCCACAAAGGTTGATCACTCCCTTGATAAGTCAAGATATTGTATTCTACCAAGAACACAAGAAGGCAAAGCTAAACTTGCTGAAAAAATCTCTATATTATTGATGATCTCATTTTACATATTTGTAGCCTTTATATAGGCATGTAAGCATCATTATCTTATAAGGAAACTCATAATTAATGAGGATCCCTTTAATTTAGGAAAATAAATCTGCCTTGATATAGGAATCCTTCTAAAAGACTACAACTAATGACAACTAAGCATAGAAAAGTCAAAGTAAAACAAAACAAAACAAAACAAGCCCAACAAGACAAAACAAGCCCATCAATACATCTTAGCATGTGGATTGGGCATTTTCTTATCATGTCCATCCGCCAAGCCCATCAATACATCTTAGTATGCGGATTGGGCCTTTTCTTATCATGTCCATGCGCCTTGGTCTTATGTCATGGATTCCAAGCTTTGTTCTTCAAGATCTAAGTCTTGCACATCGTCTTGCACATAAAGAAATGTGATTATCCTTGGTGAAGCTTTGGAAACTTCTAGAACAGTCTTAGAATCTTCTAGAACAGCCTTTTTGTCCTTGCCCTAGTCATTGGACCACCGATTCTTTGCAAAGGATCTTGAGAATATTTGGGAATATTAGCTTAAGCCATTTGGCCAGCACCTCGATCTCCATTAAAGATTCTATATCATTAGCCCGATGGTTCAGAGTCATTGAACTCCAAGAATAGCATCATATCTCATTGCACATGTCCACACCTCTTTAGTAAAATCAATTACAGAGTCTAAACAACCACATGCATCATTCCATAGTCACATGTGGTGACTGTAACTGAGTAGAAAAATGAAAATAGACTTGACCCACTCAAGGATGGCATTGAGTGGAGACACTGATATCCTAAAAGAAACTCAAATAGAATGGGTTGTGCAATCATAATGCCACTTCTAGTATGGATTACAGACCTTAAGCCCTATGTAAAAGTGATTGCAAGTCACACTAAACACCTAGAAGAGATTATGGGTTGCTGTGATAGTCCACAAAACTTTCTAGCATCAACTGTAGGTCACTAGTGAATTTCTAAGAGTGGTTAGAGGCCACTTGCATGCTTCTATAAGAGATGAACTTGGCTATGGTACCATGTAAATGCTGTATAGATAAGAAACAAGTGGGAGAAAATAAAATAATCTCCCACCAATTGACAACTTCCTTGTTTATATGTTTTAGAGTACATATAAAATGTCTATTCTTTCCTTAATGAAGTGGGGGCAGAGCTTAAACTATTCTCATATCACAATGACAAGTAAAGACACCAAACTATCCCTGGTCTCACACCTCTTAACAGAACTCAACTCAACTCAGACAAACTATTGACTAACTCAGCCTTAACCCCAACTCAGGGGAAGTTGATATAAGTTTGTATAGTAGTGATACACCACTTAAACAGTTGTGTATATGTTGTGTTTAGGATGTTTCATCACTTTATGCTGAGCTTTTGGAAGGGTCTAGTTCTCTTCTTCTATTTCAGGATACCTGGATGTTTATTGATCAATAATTTTCATCAAACAAGCTTTAAACAAGTATTTTATGTGCAAGTTAATCAAGCATGGGATGAATGAATCTGATGCATATAAATACTTTGTCTTGAGAGCACAACATATAGTACTATCCCATGGATATGAAATGGTTAATTGGTAAAGGACTTGAGCTCAAGGTTTTCTAAATCAGTACTATCTATCTACCTATCTATATGTACCATCTCATTTGTGCATTTGTAAAATGAACAGGAGGAAACCATCAACAACTTTGGCAAGCAATTGAACCCAAAGACAGTAGTGCACAACTGGTATGGCTTTTTTCCTTTCATTTTTAAGGAGTCTATAGTTCAAAAGGCCCATATCAATGCATGCATTTCTTTATTTAACTATAACTTATGCATATATATTCTGTAGGGAAGATTTTGAACCGAACTAAGGATACTATTAGTCTTTGAATATCTAAAAATCACCATATGGATAGATAGAAATTGGTTTATGATATCAGATTATATGTAACAATCCTATTTAATTTTGCTGAGAGCTATTAGGGATGCCATAACAAAGAATTACCAAACAAATAAATAATACCTATCAAAAAAAAGAATTACCAAATAAGTAATATTTCACTATTATAATATACATCAAATACTCGAGTTGCCCCAGTAGTATTCATCAATGATTTTGTTCTTTTGCCCTTTGCTGGTGAGATTATAACTGATATTATCTTTATTGCAATGAGTAATGTGCAGAAATAATTTGATTACTGAAAACCAAAGGGAAAAAGAAAGACCAGAAATTAAGAAAATTGGGTATTGGAGACATGAGCCAATAATATGTCAATAGGGTATGCAATTAGTGTTTGAAAGAAATCAGGTACAGGAGAAATCTTGCAATAGTATTTGAAAATGAAAATCAGGTACAGGAGAAATCTTACTTTCACTTTCAGAGATACGTTGAAGGAGATCTAAAAACGATGTTGGTCAGGAGCTTTGAACAAGAGATAAATAAAAGAACAAAATAACACTAGATCAATATCTGTTCAGTAAATCAGATGGAGAAATGAAAAGGATCGTTGTTCTCTCACCTAGTTAAACGCAGACCTCAATGCAAACTTCAACAGAGAAGAGGTTCATTGTTCAGATCTCAAACGCTGTTCAGATATCAACGCAGACTTAAACGCTGACGCTCGAACTCTCAAGGTTGTTGGTGGATGTTTCGAACTCCTCATATCTCAAATCTGAGAATCATAGTCGTTGCTCAGATCTCAGAGTGTCGTGCTAGTGGAAGAGCGTAAATTCCTCTTCTATTTCCCTCGATGAAATAGGGCGTGATTTTTTACTTCGGAAAAACCGATGTAGTTTTCCACCGCTAAATCAATGTAAATCATCGGGTGTTTGCAAATTTCCATTGATAATAGAGGCTTTTTTACACTTTCCAAACACATGCAATTTTAGACCGGAGTGCAATAATGCACTGAACCGAAATTTACACTCCTTCCAAACACAGCCTTACTGCTTAACACTTGGGAAAATGATATTTTGTTAGGTCCTACAGAAAATAAATAAACCCACGTTCATATTTTGGTATTAGTGGGTCCCATAGAAAAGAAAAGAACAATTCTCCAGTAACTCATTTGCTAATAATACCCTCCTAAGACTTGGGAAAATCATTTACTATATATATATATATATATATATATATTCTATGGAGGTGTACCAGAGCAGCAATACTTTGGACCGTTTGGGAGAAAAGAAATGATAAAATATTTGAAGGAAAAGAAAAATGCAAGGAAGCTCTAGTCGAAACAATAACATTGAGGATGGCACATTCGGTAAAAAGCTTGAAGTTGTTTTCAGGTTTTAAGGTCGAAGACTTTTTCAGGGTTTGGGGACTTATTGTTGCCTCCTCATCTACAAGATAACAGTTTTTTTAGGCATGGTCTCCTCCAACAGATGGTTGGAAGAAGCTGAACTTTGATGGGAGTTGTGTGGGTAACCCAAGCCCTTCAAGCATTGGGGGGGCCATTAGAGATGAAAATGGACTCATTATTGCTCTGTACTCCGGTCCTATGGAGGAGGGTGATGTGGCAAGTATAGAGTTTCTAGCTGCAGCATATGAGGTTGAGAAGGCAAAAGAGTTGGGTATTAATAGACTGATCATCGAGGGAGACTCAAAAACTGTGATAAAATGGTTGTAGAAAGGGGAATGGGTGACATGGCAGTTGAAGAATGATTTCTGAAGATTTAAATGGATGTCAAGGAACATGTCAATCCAAGTGGATGGGTTAGGAGATCTGCTAATAATTTGGTAGATAGTTTAGCAAAGCAAGGGGTTCAAAGAACACATGTTTTGGACACATTTGTAATTCTATCCTGGGTCAGCTTACTAAAGCTAATTTCTTTCACAACTTCTTCTTGTATCCTAAAGTTTTCTAATTAATGAAATAATTTCAAAGTTATTGATCAAAACAAAATTGAAGACTTGTTGGATTTTTTATTGGCCATTTATTTCTTGTGGGTTGTATTTGTAAGCCATTTGGGAATTATTAGATAATATTAAAGTTTCGTAGAGTGAAATAGATGTAACATTGTTGGGTTTGTTGAAGAAGCACACCATCAATTGAGACAAACAGAATTGTTGGATTTAGATGTAACATTTTTTTGTATGGATTATACCTCCTTAACCTGGTTTTTATAATCAAACCAATGTTTTAAAACGTGGAGGCGTGACGCGAGGTGTTCCACTACCTAGAGGCGTGAGGCGTATTTCAGAACGCAAGAAGTGTAAGCCTCCTTAAGAGAAGGGGGTTAAGAGGAGGATAAAGAAGAAGGGGGGATCTCATTTTTTCTTTATTTTTAATAAAAATCTTTTATATTAAGAAGAATAAAGATGCATAACATTAATTGAAAGGGGGGGTCGTGTTGAAGTGGAGGCGAGCCTACCGGAGCGGAGCAAGACCCCCCTAACTTAAAAAAAACAAATTGCGCTGCATTGGAAAGGGGCTGAAGCCCCCCTAGACGAAGGGGCAAGGGGAAAACCACTTTCTTTCCCCTTATCTTTTCTTCCCTTCCCTTTCCTTTTCTTTCCTTTCCTTTCCTTTTCTCTTTTTTTCTTCTCTTTCTTTTTCTCTCCCTTCCCTTTCTTTTCCTTTTCTTTCCTTTTTTTTTCGTTTTTTTTTTCTTTTTTTTCTATCTTTTTATATAAGATGTTCATGAGGCGCATGAGGCATACGCCTCTAGCACGCCTTATGAAAAAAGTGCATGAGGCGTATGCCTCAATGGTGTCAATGCCTCTAGCATACACCTCGGGGCGTTTCAGGAGCACCTTGCCTAGAGGCACACCTCCCACGCCTTTTAAAACACTGAATCAAACTATCTTATTTAGATGAAGAGATGAGGGTTCTTGTTGATATAGAAGTGACAAGAATAGAGAAAATCATACATCCATCATAGAAACCTGCCCTAGGTTCCTATTTTCCTAAGAACCTAACCAACTTTATTGTTGTGTTTAGATTTTTCTGAATCACCAATAGATGGGCCCTATCTTGGAGATCATCAACACTGAAAATAACCATTTGATGACCTCAACTATGTGTTGCCATTTTGTCCTTTTGTTAGAACAAATGGAAAAGAAAATTCAGCAAAATATGAAAAAGTTTCACACAAAGAGTTGAAGAATGGTTGGTTGAAATTGATAGCAAGTAATGCTCATACATGGCCATAGATATAGGTAATGATATCCTAGGGCATATACATCCATTGATGCAAATGAATTGGAACAAAACAAAGCTGAGATCCATGATTAAAAGGATTGATTTTAAACCAAAAAAAATATTGAAGGTCAACCTTTTAATTATTTGTTGGGAAAATAGAAATTAATACACATTGCTACACCATTATATTGCTCAATACATAATTTGTGGATAATATTCAGTCCTTGCAATTTTGATTTGTTTAAACAATAGGCTTGAAATGAAGTAGATAAGTTTATATTGCACAGTTAATAATTAGATTTTCATATATGGTTTTATGTCTCTAAAAATGTAATTTCTAACTTATTTTCTATTATTTTCTTATAGGTTATATTAAACATGATAAAGGAGATACTTCAAATATACAGATGAAGGCAAATTTGATCAAATTTTATACCTCAAGTTTTTTTTTTTTTTTGAGATTGATTTTCATGTATTCAAGAACCTTGAATTTGTAATAGATTTTAAACTTATGGATGTATTAAAGCACCTTGAGATGTAATTCATTTTTTATTATATAATCTTTTATTAGAATTTTGCATTTAAGTTTTATCTTGTAATGAATGAAATATGTTATGCTTGTATTCAACACAGGAAAACAAGTTTCAAAAAAGTAATGAAGAAATTTCAAGATCTAGCTATCAACCATATATTAGCAATTTTAGCTACAAGAAGTTAAAAACCGTAGCTAAAGATTCATGTTTTCTTGCTGCAATAGATATATATATTTTAGCTACGGTCAAAGTAAACCATAGCTATAGATTCATATTTCTAGTTAAGGACATCTCAAAACCGTAACTATAGATTTAAATTTTGTAGCTACGAACACTGCAAAACCGTAGCTATAGAGTGACATTTATCTACGGTTGTAAAACAAACTGTAGCTATAGAGTCAAATTTGTAGGTACGAATAACTTAAAAGCCTTAGATAAAATTGCACACGTAATTATTGAATCAGGATTTAGCCACAAACATAGACCATAGCTATATATTAGTTTTAGCTATGGATTCTATCATCCGTAGCTATTACTTATAGCACCGTGACTGTAGCCACTATTTTTTTACCGTAGCTAGTTCATAGCAATAGACCTATAGCTACGGTTTGTTGGATTTATAGCTATAGTTTTGTCCATAGCTATAAGTCTATTTTCTTGTAGTGCCATCTATGTAGTCCCTTTAGTAATGCAACTTTTTTTTCGATAAAATGGTCATTATACAACTTTACCTAGGGACTAAATGAACACTGGTAAGTGCTTTAATCCAGGTAAACATTTTCAAGGAAACACTTGCTTGGATAAGTGCATTTACATAGGTAAATGACTTATCGAGATGCGAATGAGCCCTAACCTTCCTATTTGTGTTTTTTTATAACATAAAAAATATAGATTAGAAGTTTACTCCACACCACACTTCAATTATATATCATAATCATATGGGTTGTAGTTTTTAACATTTAGACATTTTCCCTTGTTAGTGCATGTTAGTCAAAACATAAAAAAATCAATTATTAGAATTTATATATTTCTAAATGTTAACGACAATTACATTGATTCTCTAAGATAAGCATATGCATACATATTTTATTTTATTTATGCATATTTTTATTATTTATTTTTGTGTTAATTACAAGTGGGAGTAGCTAGGTAGGTTTATGAATTTACTATTGAAGAAAATAAAGAGAAGAGCAAAGGATGTGGGGGATTCGACAAATAGATAAACTCTATGGAGTTTTAGAGCAGGCCAAGGACCTAAGGAAGTGGAAAATGGAATATGATTCTATGATGTTAGATTGGAAGTGTTATAAATTGTCTTTAACCATCGGGATCTCTAAAAGGTTACCATGGTCGATTTAGGGGTACCCCTACTTCTAAAAGGATGGAGTATTGTAATATTAATCGATAACTTAGTGATCAACTATGTTCAAGTGTGAATTTCATTGCATTGGTGTAAATTCATGGGAGTGTAGATAGGCTAAGAGAAAACTCTGGTTTACTTTTTCTTTTGATTAGATTTTCTCTTATTTGTTTGTGAGATGTAAAATGAAGTAGTTCTCATTTTATATGAAAAAGAGAGGAGATTGGAGGAGGGTTATTTGTTTAAGAGTGAGGTAGGAAGCATGATGATATGCTATATATATATATATATAGAGAGAGAGAGAGAGAGAGAGAGGTAGGAAGAAGATAGTGCAACCTTTACACAAGTTTTTTGTATGTAAA